TCATTGCCTGCTTTCCCTTCGTTCAGCCAAGACACTGAGAACTCTATGCCAGGGCTTGCGAATGTAGCTCAGTTGGTAGAGCTACTCATTATTCCAGCACTCTAAAGTGAAGAAAGGAGGATGGCAAGCTAGAGGCTAGCCCAGGCTACATAGCAAGACCTTGTCTCAAAATAAGTAAAGAAAGAGAGAATCAAGAGACTCGGGAATTGTTGATATTTACCCTGAGACAATGATGCACTAGAGTCAGCTGCTGCCTGTGGACCTGCTCAACATCCCCTGGGCTCCATGTGTGCACTGGATGAGGCCATATGTTTCCCAGACATGTCACCGATGTTCCCGGTCTGACACAACTGCCTTCCATATGGGCCAGGTAAAAGGTTATTACTTCCCTGGGGATAGGCAGCGAGGGTAGAGCCAGCTGTTGGCAGGTCGGGTCCTAGAGGCCCACACAAAACTGGAGCCTACACAGCTGGGTGGGGGAGTTTACGTGTGGCTGGTCCACCAGGAACCTAGCAGGTGATCTCATTTCCTCGCTTGCCTTTTCGCGCCACTCCCTTCCCTGGTCTACCCCAAGCTTGGCCTGCGTTTTGAGTGACATACTCCAGGGGGCTTGGTATATATTGGCAAGCTAATTCTAACAAGAGGCTTGATAGCAGCAGTAGAAATTTTTGCAACCTGAATTCTAGCATCCTAGTGATGTGAACACTGCCCACCAGGGGCTCACAGAATGAGCTGACGGCCAGCAGAAAGCAGGCCCAAGCCTTGGTTTTTGTTTTGGTTTGGTTTGGTCTTTTCTAGAAATGTTGGGGGTTGAGCTTAGGGCCCACATTTGCTAGGGAAGCATTTTACACTAAAACTATATCCGCCCCCAACTTTTTTTTTTTTCCAGTTTTTATTTGGAGACAGGATCTTGCTAAATTGTCTGGATAGGCCTTGAACTTGCAATCCTCCTGTTTCTGCCGCCCTCCATTTATAAATACAGACAAGCACCACCACAACCTAGGCTCTCAACCCTCTTTAACTTAAAAAAATTTTAATTACATTTTAAAGTGCATTTGGGAGGGGCCAGCAATGCATATGTACAGGACATGTTCATGGAGGTCGGAAACAGCATGCAGAGGTCATTCTCTCATTTCACTATATGGATCCCAGGGCTCAAATTCAAGTCATCACACTTGGCAACAGTCACCTTCTTCCTTTTTTATTTTGAGACAGAGTCTCACTAAACAGCCCAGGTTGGCCTTGAGCTTGTAATTCCCCTGCCTTAATCTCTTAAATAGCTCACATTACAGGCCTGAGCCACCAGCCCAGAATATTTTGATGTGCACTTTTCACGGCTGAGCTGATCCTATGCAATCTACAGTTTCAAAATCTACCTGTTGAAGTTACTGAACCACATCGACCTTTTCTCTTGTGTATTTGTGAGTTCAGAATTCCTAGGCTCAACCAACCGTGAATGGAATATATTCTAAAACACAAACGTAACAAATCAAAACTTAAAAAAAATAAAAGTGTCTGTTCTACACAGGCACAGACTTTTTTCCTTGTCATTATTCCCTAACCATTTACATAGCATTTACATTGTGCCAGCTCTCATAAGTAATCCAAGAGTGGTACATTTGAATCTGAGAATTATGATGCCCACGTTAGTCTCTGCAAGGAGATGTCAGGAGGATCTCAAACTGAAGATCTACCTGGACTGCACAGAGAGTCTGAGTTCAGACTGAACAACTTGGTGAGATCCCCCCCTCCATCTCAGAATACAAATAAGGTGCTGAGGACACAGGGCGGGGGTGTAGCTCGATGGTAGAGGGGAAACATACCTGGCACCTGCAAGGCCATAGGGTCAACCCTAGAACTGCAAAAGAAGAAAAATAAGTATATTTGAGGGTGCATGTGGGTCATATGCAAATATTACCCTGTTTTATATAAGAGACTTGGGCATCCTGGAATTTTGATATCTTGCAGGGGGTTGAGCTCCTGGAACCCATCCCTCAAAGATGCTATAGAAATGTTTTTGCTCTAGACAACAGCATAGACAACGGGCCTTATGGTATTGAAAGTTCTTTACTTGGTCCAAATTTACTTGGTGCTATAATCCCAGCACTCAAGAGGCTGAGACAGGAGGATAGAGACCACATCTCACAAAAGTAAAATCATCACTTAATTCTTACTACAATCTTGGAATCTTAGTACTGTTCTTTTTTTAAGATTTATTTTTATTTTATGTGCATTGGGGTTTTGCCTGCATGTCTGTGTATGTGAGGGTGCCAGATCCCCTAGAACTGGAGTTACAGACAATTGTGAACTCCATGTGGGTGCTGAGAATTGAACCAGGGTCCTCTGGAAGAGCAGTCAGTGTTCCTAACTACTGGGCATCTCCCCAGCCCCTTAGTACTATTCTTATGTGGATTTTGCAGATAGAGAAAAAGTGGTTCAGAGAATCTGGTGATTTACCCAAGGTCACACAGTGACAGAGCTAGGGTTTAAACCCAGGCAGCCTAGCTAGGATTCAGCGCAGTAAGCTGGCGGATGCTGCAGAAGCTGACGAAACACGTTATTACCACCCCTGGAGCACGTGCTTTCTGCCGCTCTCCTGTCTCCTCTCCCTGCTTCCTTTCCGGGAACGTGGGAGTGAGGCTGTTGTCAACAAGGCTTTAAGAGACTCAATCTGTCAACAAGTTTTTGTGTATTTTGGATGGTCTCTCCGATCAAATTTCTCAGTCAAAGGACACAGGCCATTTCCAGGTTCTTGCTCCATGTTGTCTCACTTGAGGAGACATTGTGTCATTTCCACGCTTGCTGTCAGATGAGACAGCTACTTAGCCAATAGCCAGGGTGTGGTAGAGAGGAGATGCTTCCACAGCTTCTGAGACCCCAAGTTATGGTAGACACACTATATCAGCACATAGGACTTTCTAGAAAATTGCCTGGGAGCATGGGCGTGATTCCCAGGCCCCTGGGCCATCCGAGGATTGTGTGGGGAGGAGTTGGGAGACGGTTTCTGGAGGTGTGCCTTGCTATGAATCCTCACCCCACTTCTTCCTTCCAATGAAAGCCCATGGCAGTCGTGTGTGTGTGTGTGTGTGTGTGTGTGTGTGTGTGTGTGTGT